ATTCATTCGTAACTAAAGCACTGAACCTATGATGAAGAGCTTCTATGTTAAGTACCCGGTTTTGTAATTAGAATGAGCTACACCAAAGGTATTCTTAATTAAATAAGAGAAAGAGACTGCCTCCTGTATTGCATTCGTATTTTAGTTTTGATCAGAAATTTGTAAAATTCCCAAAATAAAACAAAAAAAGGTGTTCAGACCAGCAAAAGAGGACACAAAAAAAAGAAATAAGAGGTATAAATGTTAAGACAGGTGAAAATCATTAGTTTCAGATATAGTTATTATATTTAGAAAATCCAAAGGAATCACTGAAAAACTATTGGTGTGACTATAAATTCAGTAATATGGTTACATCTGGGTGAATATCCAAAAATCAGTAGGAATCTTATGTATGAGCTGTAACCAGTTAAAATTTCTTAGTATGTGTTCCATTTGCATACATTTGCTATAATTTTTATTAAATATAATAACATTGACACATGTAATACCTATGGGAGGAGTTATGAGACACTCCCCCAAAAATTGCAAGAAGTTAAGATCATCCTATAGGGATTAAACCATCAAATTGATTAGTGAATGAATCAGGATGGAGACATGTAAACAATGAACTATTTTCCAGGCCTAAAATTTAAATACAATCTGGTTAGCTAGGCATGATGGTGAGCATCTATAGTCCCAGCTATTCAGGAGAGTGAGGTGGGAGAATCACTTGAGCCTAGGAGTTTGAGACCTGCCTGGGCAAGGTGGTGAGACTCCATATATAAACAAACAAACAAATAGTATATATAACCTGAGAGGGACTAATGTGTATCATAGGTCCTCAAGATAACCCCTAGGTGCATGGGTTTGCCAGGAAGGCTCGTAGGACTCAGCATGTAGTCCTGCTCACTGAAGATTTATTGCAGTAATATGATATCAGCAAAGGAAACAGACACATGGGGCAAAATCTGGAGAAAACCATTCACAAACTTCATGGGTCCTGGCCAAAGGGAGTAACACAGGATACAGACATGTTTTTGCCTGGGCTTGATCCTCCCAATCTCTACCTCCAGAGTAGCTGAGATTACAGGTGTCTGCCACCTTGCCTGGCTCTACCAATCCTTTCTTGCTTATCATTTGGTTGTTTCTGGTCCTTCATTATTACCAACACTGCAAAGAATAGCTATGAACTTCTGTTTTTTTCATGGGTTTGAGACTGTTGTATTGGTAGGGGTGCATACAACTATAATCCCAGCACTCAGGAGGCCAAAGCAGAAAGATTGTAAATTCAAAACTAGTCTGTGTGACAGAGAGAGACTCTGAATCGAAGTGCTGGGGAGAGAAGAAAATATCTTTAGGGGAAACAGAGTTTTCAAACTTCTTACTTAATGACATAGACATTTGAATTTAATGGATACTGCTAATCAATTTCTAAAATCTTCTTGCCAGTTGATACTCCTACTGTGTGTATATGAGTGCTTTTCCCCACATTGTTCTTTTGGGGGAAGGGGGCAGAGGCTTTTATTTTATTTTGGTGGTATTGGGGCTTGAACTCAAGGCTTCACACTTGCTAGGCAGGCTTTCTATCACTTGAACCATTCCAGTAGCCCTTTTTTGCTTTAGGTATTTTTCAAATAGGGTCTTGCATTTTTGTCCAGGGCTAGCCTTGGATCTCAAACCTCTTAAGGCCTGTGGGATGATAGGCATGTACCACCACACCCAGCTGTTGGTTGAGATGGAGTCTCACAAACTTTTTGCCATGGATAGTCTTGAACTTTGATTCTCCCCATCTCTGCCTGGAGAAGCTGGGATTACAGCTATGAGCTACTCTACCCAGCTATTTTTTGGTTTTTAAGACTGGGTCTCAATATGTATCCAAGGCTGGCCTGAAACTTGATTCTCCTTCCTCTGCCTTCCAAGTGCTAGGATTACAGGCAGGTACCACAATGCCCAGCTCTGATGGCTGCTTATAAGATAGTCTCATGCAGAGATCATGGGTCAGGTCCAAGGTGCTAGGCAGAAGACTGGAAACAGTCTAGGGCCCCAGGATGAGCCTATAAGGTCATGGAACATATAGGAGGAGTGTGCAGGATCTCAAGAAAGAGGGCTGATCAAAGCTGAAGTGAGACCTAGTGAGTCACAAGGGCAGATGAGCTGACCTTGGAAAAGTGAGGAAGGGAGAAGAGGAACCTGTCACAGCAAGAAGAGGTCTGGGAAACAAAGGGCAGGAGGATTTCAACGTGAGGGTCATTCCTCTCCCCTCAAAGTGCTCATATAGCTAGCTTTTGATGAGTACTTCCTGTGTGCCAGGCACTTTGCTAAGCACTTTGCATTCATTACTTCATCATCTCAACAACCTACAATGCAAGAGCAATTACATTCCCTTGACACAGAGGACACTCAGGCACAGAGAGGTAAAGTAACACAGTTGGCAAGAGGTAGCTTTGGCACATGAACCCAGACAGACTTGACTTAGGAGTTCCTGCTCCTCATATCTCCATAGAGCTGTGTTTGGAGTAAGTTGTTATTGCCAGGCCAGCAAAGGGCAGGAGAAGACAAGGACTGTGGAGCGGCATCTCTTTTTTCCTGCTTACAGGACCTCAGGTTTGTTCAGGCGTCAACAGCATTGTGCCCTGGGAAGATGGGCCTCTCCACTGCCACAGATATATCACAGAAGATTTCAGCCTATTACTGTACTCCATTCTTTTTTGGCCAGTGAGACCCAAGACCATGTCTGTTAACTAAATATAAAGGACAGCTCTCATACTATCATGATTATGTGCCTTTACTCTTGTTGCCAGAGTCAATGCAGGAACAGAATTCAGGCAAGACATGGAAATAGAGTGAAAGTGATAGTAACACTTATTAGGAAAGAAACGCACATTCAATAACTGAAAGCAGGTCATCTCGAGAGAGTACGAGAATGTCCTTTTACCCTCATTCTTGCCCACAGTGTATGTTCTTAAACATTGGAAATTTTTTCAAACTGATAGGTTAAAAATTGTATTTAGGGCTGGAGTTGTAGCTCAGGTGGTTGAACTCCTGTCTAGAGCTGGCAGAGTGGCTCAGAGGTAGAGCGTCTGCCTAGTTCAAACCCCAGCACCGCCAAAAAAAAAAAAAAGAACTTCCATCTAGCAAGTTCCAGATCATGAGTTCAAACCTCAGTGCTATCAAAAAAAAAAAAAAAGGGTATCTCAGCATAGCTTTGATTTGATTTATCATTATCCATAAGCTTTAGTTCTTTTCATCTAAACCAGTTGTATTCCTTTTACTGTGATTTCTCTGCCATTGTCTTCCATCCATTTTTCTATTGAGTCTGGGTTTTTTTCTTAAGGATTTGAGAAGGCTCTCTATTAATCCTTTGTAATGTGAGTTTCAACTGTTCTTCCCATTTGGCCTCTGATTTTCTTTTAGCACACATGGTACTATTCACAGGCTTGATTTCTATGTAACTAGGTTTATTAATCTTAATCAGAACAGGAAAATCGTCTAGGTCAAAAAATAACTCACTATATTTTTGTTCGCCACTTTTATTGTTTAATTTTTTACATTTAATTCTTTGATGTGTTTGGAATTTATCCCAGTGATGGCATGCAGTTGGAGCCAGCTTGTTTTCAAGATGGCTATGGGTTTTCCAATCACTTTGTGCTGTCACTTCATTATATAGACAGAAATCCATTTTGTTCTGGGGTCTACTTCTGTTCCGTTGGTTTTCTGCCCACTCTTGTGTCAGTGCCCCACATTTTAATTACTTTTTTTTTTGTGGTACTGAGTTTTGAACTCAGGGCCTTGTGCCTGCTATGTGGGTACTCTTCCACTTGAGCCATTCTGCCAGCCCAAATTACTGAAGCTTTAAAGGCTGTTTTTATGTAATGAGTCTAGTTCCTTCTCTGCTCTTCTCTTTGAGTTTTCTGACTAATCTGATTTTTCCATATAACCTTAGAATTATGTTTTTGAGTTGCAGGGAAAAAAAGTCAGTGGCTAGGGCTGGGGGTATGGCTCAAGTAGGCAGGCTCTTGCCTGTCAAGTGCAAGACCCCACGTTTAAACCCTAGAGCACCAAGAAAAAATCATCAACTATTTTTATTGAGGTTGGTTTCAACTTTATTTTTTTAAATAAGTATATATTATGTATATTCAGTATTCATATATGTAAGTATATATAGTTATATAGTATACACTAATATTTATTTTTTTGGGTGGTACTGGGGTTTGAACTCAGGGCTTTGTGCTAGCAAGGCAGACACTCTACCACTTGGGCCATGTTGCCAGCCTAATTTTAACAAATTAGTACAATGACATTTTAGAATAGGTTCATCTCTAAGAACATAGTTTGTCTTTCCATTTATTTATCTTCATTTTTGCCTCTTAGTAGTATCTTATTTAAAGTTGATTTTGGTTTTTTTCATTTCTTATTCAGTTTACTCCTTGGAGTTTTATCTTTTTTGTTCCTTTACCAAATAGGTTATGATTTTGCTTATGATTTTACCCATGTAGATCTGTCTTTATAGAAAGGATATCCTTAATTATGCAAAGTGGTTTCTTTTGAGTGTCAGCTTAATTGCTACTGTAATTTAGCGCATTGACATTCTGGTATGTAAGAGATGGATTCAGTCCTCACATACCAGTAAATCAGAATTTACAGCCTTCAAGGCTGAAAACCAGATCCTAGATCTTGGAAAACTCACCCTGATATGTCCAGTGCATGTTGCTTGATGGGGTAGCCTTATTGGTAGCCAGTCAGATGACCTCTACCTACAATGCTACATTCACATACATGCTTTTATTTTAAAAAATCAATAATTCACTTAGTAAACTTCATTGTTTTGATGGCAGACCTTTTTATCAAGTCTGTCTGCATGGTATGTAGATACGAATGGCATATTTGCAGCTGCTGCTGTTTCCACATCTGCTTACACTTGAAGAGCCCAATCTATACACTAAAGATGTGCTTTGAAAATTTACTAAGAAATTACATTGGTCAGATCTTTAAGAAGAATTTTAAATTATTATGTATTTCAGAACTTCACAAACTTGTTTGGACAGCCACTAGTCTGCTTGCTTTCTCCTACGGCATATCCAAAAGCTTTACAAGGTACGTCCTCATAGTGCTTGTTACATACCCATGGGTTATGAGTAAGCACTATTTACATTTTGAACAATACTCATCTTTGTTTTCCCTCCCATAATGATTAAGGGTGGATTTATGGTGTTTAATGAGACACCAATTTGAATACACCCAGAAGCCTTACAACAACCAGACTTCCTTAATGTGCTGCCATTAGGCCTTGAGATGATACATCTTTAAGAGTGATTCGGTCCTTTGCCATTGGGGAACTCATGATTTATAAATTTGAACATGTGTTTTGCAGGTGTTTGTTTTGATTTCTCATGATATCGACATAGAATGATGTTCTACATCTTTGGTTGCATATTTTAGGCATCTTTGGAGACCATATGATTTCTGATCTAGGAACCTTCTCAGTTTATGCCCAACAGTTAGGATGATCTAACTGGCACAACTTGAACAGTTCCTCCCCTACCCCCCATTTTTATCTGGTACTTTAAAAAAAAAAAAAAAGAAAGAAGAAGAAAAGAACCTCTTCCAAATCTGCCAGAAGGACAAGTTTGTTTGAGCCATTTCTCCAGTGGCTATGAGTTGACAGACCTTTTGCCTTAGTGGTTTGTCCTTAATAGGTAACACATAAAATCTAATTCTAACTCCCAGTCATTTGTAGGTAAAATACTAAGGAACCTTACCACTGTCTTAGCAGTACTTGTCACTGTTTCACTATCTCCCTAACTGTGAATAGTGCTGATGTCTCTCTGTGGGAGATGGCATTTTACTGCTACTTCCCAGCCCTGAAGTCCTGTCTGCTGACATAGTTTGACACAGGAAGTGATGGTCAGCATTTGAATGCCTGAGAGAAGCTGGAGACTTTCACCGTTGTTTTAAGGTAAGTTCTGCTGCTTAACAGGGAAAATCATATAGAAATACTAAGTTAATAGATCCAAAAGCCAAATTCCTAAGGAATAGAACTTACCTTCAAACAACGGTAAAATTCTCCTGCTTTGAGGATTTTGTCATCCTGTTTCTTACCATTTCTGGAGGAATGCAACCCCTTCCAACTGGTTAAAAGTGCTGTCAACCTGTCTGGTCAAGATGTAGCTTTACTGGAAACTACATGATCAAATGGGTTAATGCCAGCATTATTTGGTCTGAAAGACTTTATTGTGTAGTGGGAAAAGCATAGACCTTGGAGGCCAAATGATGGAATTTGAAAGTAACCTAACCACTTACTAGCTATGTAACCTTGAGAAGTTACTTAACCTTCTGTGCCTCAGTTACTTCAACTGTCAAATGAAGTAAAAAATAATATCTACCTCATAGAATAAAGCTAGGTGCCTAGGGGAATACCTGTTGTGTACTCCCTGTTCTCATCATTGGTTTGCTTAATTATGATGCATGTCCTTAACACTTACCCCAGCTTCCTATCTTTGTGCTATAAAGCTTGGTTTTCACATACCTTAAGTGAATTGTTCAGCCACCTAAACAGATTCAAACTTCTATTATGAGAAACATTAAAGATTTGTCCAGTGGCATTATCTCTATTGACTTCTGCAAAAAGAGTTACCTGGGCACAAATCTGGCAGATACATTATACTGAAGTGTCAGTTAAGGTTCTTGCACTTTAGGTATCTAAAACCTATAGTTAGCTAAGACTTACTTCATTCATTCAGCACAGTTATTTCACATTCGTTTGACAGGCATTGTGCCATGCATTTGGGGCAGCACTCAGACCTGTACTACAGTTGTGTTCCTCACAGAGCCAGTGTCTAGTAGAAGGTAGAGTTGGACCCAGTGCTACCAGTTTCATGTCAGGAAGCCCAGGAACACGGGGAGGCCGCTGCTAGCCAGTACGCGGTGGTGAGGCAGGGGAGAGTTGATGTGTAATGTAGACCTCACAGACATGTAGAATTAGATGGGGACGGGGAACAAGAGTGCTTCAGCAGGAAATTGCATGTGCCATGGCCCTGACATAATAAATCTTATGGAAACACTTCAAGAAATTAAAGTAGTTCCTCTTGCTGAAGCTGAAGGTTAGAGTTTGAGGTTGTGTGGCTAAATCATGAAAAACCTTTTAAGATTTGTTAAGTGATTTAAATAGAGGGCAGTGGAGTACTCACAAAAGATTTTAACCAGGAGTAGCATGAAAGAGTTTACCTTGTAGAGAATGAATTGGAGAGGGGCACTGATGATGTGGCTGGAGCTCATCAGTGACTAATACTAAGCCTAGTAAACCAGTTGGACTTGGCAGTGGACTGGGCATGGGAGGAAGAGAGAGCAAAGCCAAGAATGGTCTCTGGCTCAGGTATTGGTAGAAATAATGAGACGTGAGGAGAAGCATATTTGTAGAGAACTAAAGAGGAAGGAATTCGCTTTCAGTGACTGACATACTGAGCTTGACCTTCCTTGAGAGTTGGGTTCAATGGAGGAGTCAGAGCAGCACTGTCCAATGGAAATGTAGGATGAGTTACATAAATAATTTTAAATAATCTAGTATCCACATTTTAAAAAGTTAAAAAAAAAAAACAGCTGAAATAAGTGTTAACAATTTGCCTTTCTGTACTGAGACTTCGATACCTGGTGTATATTCACAGAGTGTCTCAATTTGGAGCAGTCACATTTTAAGTGTCCAGTAGTTACCACAGGGCATCACAGTACAGAAGTACAGAATTCAGTCATAAGAGGATTAGGAATCTCAGTAGTCATGTAAATGGTAATGAAGATCATGGGCATCAGTGAGATGAGCAACATGTAGGGCCAAAAGGAAGAAAACATTGATATTTAAGGTTTAGGCAGAGAAAGACCAACTAAAAAAAACTAAAAGAATGCAAAAGATTGCAAAGGTAGTGTTCAGAGAATTCTATCATGCGTAGTTCAAGACTCAGTACTCAGTGCCATATTGTGATGGATTTGAGGGTTAAAAATAGTAAGGAATGTATTTATTTTTCATTTCTCTTGAGTTTTATAAGGCTGTATTTTAAGTTTGTTCAGCGGAAGGCAATATGCCTCAAGTATGTTTTTGTTGTGTTGCGATATAATGGTATAGCTTTAATTTTATGCATCATCAGTATATTAAAATATTCCTCATACATTGTTTCTCTTGTCTTTTACAAAACTGTTGTCTATATATGTAACATGTTTGTTGTTACAGATCAATCTCAACGAGGTAGCCTCTTCACTCTCTTTCTGAACAATCCTCTAATGGCCTTCCTGTTTGTCTCTGGATTGTCAAGCATGCGTAGAGGCCTATGGGAAAAGTGTCAAGAATATCTTCGAAAAATCAACCGTGATATTGCCCAGCTACTGACTCATTCACGTTCAATAGGTACCCTGAACTGCACACATAACAAAATGTAGTAATGGCTTAAAATGATGACCCACTTTAAATTGCTCTGATTTTTAAAGGTATTTGTCCCAGGCAGGAAAGTCGAGAAAGGCTTTCCTGAACTTCTCCTGTTGAAGTGCAATTTCCACTTAAGCCTCTTTGTACTGTCACCTTTCTCCTCTTTGCAGATCAGGCATTTCTCCAGTTTTTTGGAGATGAATTTCTTCGCTTGCTTCTCACAAGATTTATCTTCTGTTCAGCCACCATGAGGATGCACAAGATTTTTCGGGTAGGCAAAGAATATTATTAAAGACCGATTTTAGGGCAGGAAGCATAGCTAGGGGAAAGAGCCCTGCCTAGCAAGACTGAGTTTACCATTGTATTTATTTAAGAACCATATTTTATATTTTACTTGCATTAAATAAAATTTAAATAGCTTCAAATTAACATTTAGAAATATGCACAGAAGTCTTTACTTCCATTTCTTGCATAGGGAGCAGGAAATATTTCTCCTTTTTTTTTACCCCCACTTCTCCTACTTTATCCTGTCATACTAAAATAAATGCTTGCTAAAGCTTCTTTAAAAAAAATAATAAATATGACAATATGAAGGTTGGCAACATTTCTGGGCATGGTGGCACATATCTATAGCTCTCAGGAGGCTAAGCAGAGGGTCAAATTTGAGGCCAGTCTGGGATACAGAGCCACAGACACCCTGTCTCAAAAGCACAAAACACACAAAACGAATCAAAAGATTAATAGTATTTAAGACATATCCAAGTACCTCCCGTCACATTTAAGAAAAACATTTTCATTGTCTTTCAGGCCCTCTGGGTCTTCCCTGATCCGTCTCTTTCTCAAATGAAATTGACATCCTGAATTTTACCATTATTTACTTTTGGTTGTTTTGTCACATATATTTGTATTTTTACCCAACATAGGGATGTATCCATATTGCTTCTTTTCAACCAACATTATGTTCCTGGAAGCTAGGGATGTAGCTCCATGGTGCCTGGCATGCATAGCACCCTGGCTTCAAACATTATATCCTAAGATTGGGCCTGTTGATGATTATAGCTTCTTTCTTTCATTTTGACTGCATAATATGAGACATTTTTTGACTATGTGTCACACGTTACTATCCACTTTATAGATAATGAACATTTGAATTGCTTCCAGGTTTCTATTGTTGTATAAAAGAGTCACTGAGATTTCTTATATCAGTTTCCTGGTGCATATATATGTTTTTCTTTGGGGAGCATACCTACCAGTGGAATTGCACTGTCAGAGGATATAAGCATATTTATTTAACTTTCTAGGCAATGCCAAACTGTTTTCCAAGTGAGTCCTTCAGCTCACCCTCACACTAACAGCATATAGGAATTGCTACACTTGGACTCCCGCCAACAGTTGCTGCTGTCATACTTAATGTTATGCGTGAGTGTGGTGGTGGTGAAGTAGTGGATTCTGGGGCTTTAGTTCTGGTTCCCAGCATTGCTATTGAGCTTGAGCAACTTCTTATACATGTTATCCTGTGTCCTCTTTGTGAAGAGTATGTTTCAAGTCTTTTCCTTGGCTTCACAGTTCATTTTGTTCTCTGTTTCTTTCTGTGTATTCACCACCTACACAGCACTGTTCATTGAGGTTTTCAAAATGTTAGCCATTGTATTTTTCACATTATAAGTAACATTCAGTTCTTTTTCAAATATTCCTGAACATTTCAAAATGTCTTTTGCAACTTTGAGTCTCAAAATGTTCCATCTTTTTTTGTCTTGTTTTGTTGAGATCTGGGACTCACTAGGTAGCCAGGTTGGCCTTGAACTCTCCATCTCCATCCTCATAACTCAGCCTCCCAAGTGCTGGAATTACAGGCGTATACCACTTTGCTTGGCCTTCACCTCCCTTTTGTTATAATGTTTTTAAATGTAAGAGTTGTGTACCCACATGCATGCACCCATCCCATTCTGGTATTTCTATCTTACGTATTTGTCAATTAATCCATCCCTCCTTCCTTTCATCAGTGCATCTCGAACAGCAGACATCAATAGACTTTACCCATAAACACTTCATTGTGCATATATATATATCTTTATATCTCTTTTTGGACTTATTTTTTTTTTTTTGACACAGGGTCTTGCTATGCAGCCCAGGCTGGCCTTAAACTCTAATCTTCTACCTCAGCCCCTCTAGTGCTGGGATTACAGGTGTGTACCACCATGCCTGGCTGCTTATATCTTTTTTTAATAAAAATTATATATATGCAGTGTAATGCACAAAACTGAAGTGTACTATTTGGTGAGTTTTGAGGAGACATAGTCTTATGTAACTCAAACCTCTATCAAATTAAACAGCAGAATGATTCCAGAATCTTCTCTTCATACCCCTTTTCTAGTGAGTTGCCCACCCATTACCTCATAAACAACCATTTAACTTTTTTCACTATAAATTAATTATGTCTATTCATGAATTTAAATCACATGGTATGAACTCTTTTGTGAATCTTTGACCAAGCATGTTGTTCTTGAGATTCATCCATATTGATTCATTTATCAGTAGCTTGGTTTTTTGTTTATTTGCAGTACTGGGTTTGAACTCAGGGCCTCACTCTTGCTAAGCAGGGTAAGCTGTACCACTTGAGCCACACCATCAGCCCTACTTTTTTTTTTTTTAAGTTTCAAACATTACATTTTTGTGACTCCTCATAGTACTTGGTTTAGTAAAATCAAAACCTTATTGAATATCTTTGTGATGTGTAGTAAGTGAACCCTATAGGCATAGAGTTAGAAGTGACGTTTGAATATATGATTTGTTCAGTGAGATACAAAAGGGGTACCTTCTAAATGTGTGGCAAAACTATAGTCTATTAAAATTATCAAATCTCTTTGCTAATAATAGCTTTAAAGTCTCATCTATTTTCATGGTTTCAATATTTTATCTTCATGAATATTATATCACTTTATATAAACTGTTCAAATCTGTGTGTGTGTGTGTGTGTGTGTGTGTGTGTGTGTGTGTGTGTGTGTGTGTAGTTCTGGGGACTTTGAACACATTAAGCAAGTGCTCTAACACTGACCTATACACGCCCCCCCTCCCCCCACCCCACTATAAATCTGTTATTTGAAATGCAGCCCTGAATTTTCAAATTCTGGTTACAGGGAAGTCCTATCTGTATCGTTCTATTATCTCAAATAAAATATGCTTAAAACCTGAAGTTTTTATACTATCCACAAATTAACCCCTTTGCCTCATTTTTTCTCTCAGTAGCTCCCAACTTCTGTCAAGTTATCTATTTATTTCTAAAATGTTACTCAATTTTAACACTTCCCTGTACTATAATTAGTTACTAAGGCTCATTAACTTTAATGTTTCTCTTCTCTTCCCTTCAATTTGATTTCCACTAGAACATCTATTCTTTCAGTTAGAGAAATTGTTGTTAATTCAATGTGCTAATATCTCCTCTCCATCAGAAAGAATTATGTGGCTTCTAGGTGACAAGAGTGTATACCTAGCAATGATAGACCTTAGTTACTAAATAAATGTATTAGGTTGAACCATATGAAGTTGTCATTTTTAGAGGTCAGAATGGTCAAATTTTAATAATTCAATGCATTCAGCAAATACATTAATAAAAATAATAGCAATATCAAGGAGAAAGTAAATTTTAAGTTACTCATTAATTTTCTTCCATTAGACTATAACATTTGAATTTTCTCTTCTTTTCCTACCAGGAAACACGAAATTATCCAGAATCTTACCCCCAACTGCCAAGAGATGAAACAGTGGAGAATCCTCATCTTCAGAAGCACATTCTGGAATTAGCATCCATTCTGGATGTTCGAAACGTCTTCTTTGAGAGTACCATAGATGACTATTAAGACAAAAACACTTGTTGAAAGAATTTTCATTTTCCACGATTTTAAATGGTGCAGTTTTCTAATGTGATGACAGACACACAGTGTGTTACTTAGTTTTTATTTTTAATTTAGGATCACCATTTTAAAAACAAAAAAAAAAAGTTTAAACTTTTAGGGTAACTTTTAAAATGCAGTCTTTCAAGTCTTTTAAAATCTCAATCTTGGAATTTTTATTTTTTTGGTTTTGACATACAGATACTTCCAGCATCCAATCATAGAGTCAGATAGTCACTATTCTCACTCTGAGAAGAATAAAGTGTTTATTTTTGCATAAATGAGGAGAATCCAACATACTTATTCTTGGAACTTAAATGTCTGGATTTGGAAAATGTATAATTGTTCAAGATGATGAAACAGGCCAGCATGGACTACTGAAAATCAAGAACATTCTTTCATATTTCTTTTCATTCCAAGTTAGTAGGTAGCACGATGACAGTTTTTTTCTTTTTTTTTTTTTTTTTTGCGGTACTGGGATTTGAACTCAAGGCCTACACCTTGAGCCACTCCACCAGCCCTTATTTGTGAAGGGTTCTTTCGAGATAGGGTCTTGCAAACTACTTACCTGGGCTGGCTTTGAACCGTGATCCTCTTGATCTTTGCCTCCTGAGTAGCTAGGGGATTACAAGTGTGAACCACCAGCACCCAGCTATAATGACAGTTCTTGAAGTCATTGAATTCCTGTTAAAACTGTCAAAATTTCAGAAACTGTTCTAAGATTAATCTGCATCTGAAAGCTAAATCTTTAATTGGAACTTGATGATATAATACTTGGAATGTGTGAATCCTGGGTTATGACATTTGTTTGCGTATTTCATTATCTTGTAGTCTTTGAATGCTGGAAATCGAAAAGGAAATAACTTTTAAATACTTCAGTCAACAACAACAACAACAAAAAAAAACAGGTTGTGGTTAATGTCTGCAGTGGGAATTATACCTAAACTCTTCGTTTCTCAGATCAGGTTTAAAAACCAGATTGACGTCTGGTGTATTTGGGACAGTTTCTAGTCTTTTTGCCTAGTTTACATTAATGAGACTTCAAAGTTAGAGTATTTTTAATGTTGATTGAGGGTAACTCGGTGTTAAGAAAATAAAATGTAAGTTGATTTTGCATTGACAATTTGGGAATAAGATTTCATAAAACTCCCAGTATTTAGTTGTTTTTTATATTCATGAACAAGTCTTCTATTATTTTAAGCAGGGCTCTCAGTTATAATATAAAGACTTTTGTGTTTTACTCCCTTTCACCTCCAATTTCATAGGCACCGTATAAAGGTTCTCCCCCCGACCCCTTTGGGCTGCACAGCATTCAAGTTCAGAAATGTGTTAATCAGAAGTCCTTCTACGTAACTTTCTATATGGAGTCACATTCTACCTCTGGCAGTCCCAGGAGAAATGAAGGGATTATTCTTTGTATGTCTCTAGGGAAATTTTACTATGGCGTTATTTCTGGCCTAGAGAATCAGTTGGGTATAAATTATGCCATACCTGTTCCAACTTGCTCATTTTTCATCTAATATCAAATTATTATTCTTAGATTTAGGAACTTTTGTGTGTTTCATTTACTTTTTAAAAATCCTTATTATTTTCTTTTTTTTTTTTTTCAGACTGTTTCAAAAACCTTGGGAAAAGTTACTGTGGAAAGAGATTTCTTTTGCCTGTGGCTTTTTCATTTTCAAATGGATTGCTTCCCTTTTTGTCAGTACCTTGATTCCATAGTTCTCCTTCCTTTCTTAACAGTGTTCACCTGGACTGCAGCAATAGACAGTCATTAGTTGTCTGGCCACTTGTCCCAGTTGCTTTGAAGTTCTGTGCCATTTATCCTCCTCTGTACCCACATTTTTCTGTTCTCTGATGTTGAAAATAGTATTTCTTGTCCTTTGCTTTATCCTTACCTACTAAGCATAGAAATCACTGGCCTGAGGACTAGGAGACCTGAGTTCTAATCCTGACTTTCCTAGTGACTAGAATGACGCCCTTTGACAGGTGTCTTCATGTCTCCGCTTCTTAATATTGTCCTCTGTAACGTGGAGTGGTTGACCCAAGGTCCTTCCCAACTCTATGATTCTACAGTTTGGACTAATGGCTTCAAGCATACTGACTTTCCTACCCTTGCACTGGGAAAACTCATTTCTGTGTTTTTAGCATATACAGCATTCTTTTCTAGATCATGTTTACTAATACTCTGTTTAAGAAAATATCTAGGTCCCCTTAGCTGTTTTAGATACTAGTTCAGAGAGAGGTGGTCTTAAAGAAATTAGAGCCCAGAGCCTTGTGCATGCTAGGCAAATGCTCTACCACTGATCTATATCCTCAGCCCTTCAGTCCACTTTAGGTCTTTAACTACCAGGAAGAAATCACACTGCTGTCAGCTCATAATCTAACTTTCCATTGTGATGTTTTAATCATGAGAGCTCAAAAAAAAAAAAAAATGGAATTGGCACATCTGTAGTCCAAACACTGAGGAGGCTGAGGGAGAAGGATCACAAGTTCTAGACCAGCCTGAACTACATAGCAAGACCATGTCTCAAAATATATATAATGTGAACTCAGGACATCTTGATTCTTCAAAGAGAGCAAAACTGTGCCAGAAAATACTAACCTGTCTTACTCATGCCTTCAAAAAATGTTTATTGCACAACCACTATGCTTGATACTTTCCTAGGGGCACTGGTGAAGCAAGCAAAGTAGATCCATAAATCCTCTTCTTTGGAGTCAGGGTGTCTCAGAGGTAGAGCACTTGCCTAGCATGTGCAAGGCCCAGTGCTCCATCTGTAGCACCACAAAAAAAAAAAAAAAAAAAAGTCCTTGGCTTGGTCTGGGCACAGTGGTGCTTTTCTATAATCCCAGCATTGGGAAGGCAGAGTATTGCCAGTTTGAGGCCAGTCTCAGCCTCAAAGAAAATAAAAATAAAGTAAAACAAACTGTAAGCATAAGTAATTAAATTTATCTTAAGGCTGGGCATCATGGTTCAGGCTTGCAGTCCAGACACAGAGAGGTTTGTAGTTCAAAACCAGCCAGGTAAAAAGTTAGTGAGACCCTATCTCAACAAGCCGAGTGGTAGTGCACCTTCCAGACACACGAGAGGCATAGGTAAAAGAGCATAGTCCAAGACCAGCCTGAGCAAAAATTAAAACCCTGCCTGAAAAATAACTAAAAAGGCTCAAAAAGGGCTCAGGGTGTGGCTTAAGTGGTACAGGACCTGCCTATCAAGCACAAAGCCCTCATTCCAAACTCTGTACTGCCAAAAAAAACCTACATTAGAAAATGGCTAAGCAGGATACAGAAAGCATCTAGCACTGAAAGAGAGAGCTCTTGTTTGGTTTTTGAGATAGGGTAGGCATCATTGTGAAAGTCACATTTGCACAAACACTATGTCTTGTCTTTACTTTACTTTTTATTATGAAAGTTGTAAACACTGAAGTGTTTGATGTCCCCTTCTTGTAGCTCTTACCCAGATTCTATATTTTTTTAGGCATTACTTTAATCAAGGGAAAAGAAGGACAATCACCCAATGGGTCAGTATGACATTGGCAAAGAATTTTGTGTTTTATTTGCTTATTACCCCCTCTTTATAAATATTAAAAAATATAAGTCCTATTTATTTAATTTTAGAATTCATAAATGTTTGAATATTGGAATTCAAAACCAAGCACAGCAATGGGAAACAGATTTTTGTTTTCAGATTGTACAAACTCACCCTGGAGATTCTGATTCAGCCTCTGGTCTCTTAGGAATCATTGTAAACAAATTAGGAAGCATAAAATTGCAAGAGCTCAACTACATACAAAATGAAGATTTTCTCTTACCCTTGTATTTCTGAAGTTGATAAAGCAACCATCTTCTTTTAAAGAAGAGAAAGCTGAGACCTAAAAAAAATTATCTGGTTCTGGCAGAGTGGCTCAAGCACTAGAGTGCCTGCCTAGCAAGTGTGATGTCCTGAGTTCAAACCCCAGTACCACCAAAAAAAAAAAATTATAAAAAACTATCTGGTTATTCATAGGGATGAAGCTAGAACTAAAACTCAGATCTCCTGGTCTCGGCTCAGTCCTCAGTAGCTGAGACTTCTTTCTGTAATGAACAAGAAAGGAATTATTAAGCATTTATATTTTGGCACAAAAGATTATGGTAATTTTTTTCACTAAATCAAATATTGAGACTGTGAATCAGCTCTACCAGGCTTTTATCAATTATAAAATCATATTTTTCCTTTGATTTGTCAGAATATATTCTTTCTGTGTGTGTTTTCCTCCTAGAAAGGTGCTCTCAAAACCTCTCAAAGCACAGAATTTATTGTGCCCTTTACATTTTCAACCAAGTTGAAATGTTTCAAGATTATAAAAACAAAGTACAATTCAGTTGTGTTTGAGCTTTTCCTGGTATAGGGTCTGGGTTCCTACTCCTTTTGTTTATTTTGTGCAATAGAATTTCCTGAAACAGAATCGATGGTGATTTTACTGTATTTAATTGAGATAAGGGGAAAAATGACAATTCAGATTTATATACCAACTATGGATTTTTCTTTAAAACATCCTTCTCCAAGTTTAATCTCTGACCTGTGTGAGTTAGTAACTTTCTGTCTCTGAGAGGTATTTTCCAGCCCATTGGAAAATCTTGTAGCTATCCATGGAGACTTATAATCAGCCTTATATCCAGAGAACATACAGAGTAGTATGGTAAGGTGCCAAGGTCTGCAAACTTGGCCACTGCCTGTAATTCAGAATCAAATGCCCGCTGTATATGAGTAAAAGATTTAATGTCAATATTGAATGCCTTGAGTCTCCTAGTAATATTTTGAGTGTTTATGTTCCTTTGTGTTTATTTGGAGAATATAAAGAGTATTTACATTGAGGGCTCTTTTTTGACCTTATTTATTTTACATTCTTATTTTTAATAGCATGTGTATATTTTTGTGATATTAAATGCAATCTCTGTATACTTTTTGTATATATGTAAATATATTTGTAAATATCTTGGTATGCACTGATGCAGTATGTGTATATTACATACCCATACCCATTGTGGGCTGAATTTATTTAAGTTCTGTGAGGACATCCTAGTGGCATTGTTCATGCCACTGTAGTTAGGTTGTGACTGGATCTCATCCACAGGCCTCTATTTTGAGGGGCTTGTGTTGGGATAAAATGGACTCATTTAGGGCTGGAACGATGGCTCAAATGGTAGAGCACCTGCCTCCCAAGTGCAAAATCCTGAGTTCAAACTCCAGTACTGACCAAAAAAAAAAAAAATGGGCTCATTTGGAGTTGAAATTAGAACATAAAGATCTTACAGAAAGCTGAATGTTCTTAGCTTTAAAACATCTGCTAACTTCCACTTAATTTGGTGATAAGTTAATGATATAAAACTGAAAAACCCAAGTATGTGAAACTGAGACACCAGCAGATTCTTAAGTTGTTTTGTTCCCTTATTTTCTT